AACTTTTTGAGCGCTGTTAGGTTACCTGTCACGATAGGAAATGTCTGAGCTCTACCACATGGAGTTTCTAACTTCTTGCTTGCAGTTACTCAATTCCAGCAGATTTATGTATTTCAACTGCAGCAAGTAAAAAAACCTAAGTACATTAAAAACCAAAAATAATAATCAAAAGATCCAGCTCATATATGTCAAGCACAGAGTCCTGCAAAGGGAAACAAGAGTAGCTGATCGCTTTCGAAACACATCAAAATACTAAGAATAGCTGCCATCTGCAGACACTATAAATGCTTTGCATCTAAATTCACATTTCTTTCTGGACAGTTTCTCAGAGTGTCTCACTACCTGGGATCACAGCTTATACACAAAGCAGAACTCAGAGATACCGAGAACCTTGCGCTCACTGTGGGCCACCTAGGATTTCCTTTCCTTCAGTTAACTGAAGCGGATCCAGGAGGTTCAGCCCTTGAGACAGAGAAGAATGAGCAGAGCAAGCCTTTTCCTCCTCAATACTAGCTCAGGGAGTAAGTGGATGTTTAGGTCACACACCATTAAGGAGAACCCTTCTCTCAGACATCTCATGTACTCAGAATCAAGGCCACAGGAGATTTTCTTACCCAAGCACTTCTGCAGCTTCATTAGAAATGACAACATTTGCAGACTAAAAGTAATCTAAAACTGTTGTTTAAAAAAAAAAAACAAACGACACTGACTATTTCAGAATCATCAGTTAAGTGAAATAAAAACTAGCTCTGTGAATATATCAAAAACCATTCACACTAGCAGAATGCCCATGAAAACATTGTTTCAAACAGCGCTACAGAAGCCCTGTTGTGTCAAACCGTTATCTCAGAATCATTCACAGAAAACAGTGTATAATTTTTAAGCCTTGTAATAGCACAGTCTTGGGACAGGTGAACTGAGAAAATTATTCCGTCCCTTTAAGACGAAACTCTCAGAAACACAGTAAAGAGAAATTGCTGTAGCTGCAAGAAGTCCTGACATACTGGCACAGGTTCACCTGAAAGCAAGAACCAAGAAAAACTGTTCTGAAGTTGCTGACGGGTGTCCCTTAACTGTAGCTGGATTTCATGTCCCTTAATTTTATTTGGTTATTTTTTAAAATCACCACACAGGAGGCTAAAAACACTGCCTTGATTTCACAAAAGAACGTATACCTGAACACGCACTTGGAATGCCAGGATGATCACTTCAGAGGTTTTAATTCTGATTACAAGTTCATTGTAACATGACCCAGAACATAAGTATTGGTATCCACCATTAGTAAATGGCCAGATGAAATTAATACACTTCCATTTCATTCATCATCACTTATAATCCATACAGCAGACTTCCACTTGTAAGTAATTGTAGTCAGGGGCAATAAAAATCTGCCTCATGCATTCAATGATTGCCCTTTTAAAAGAAGGGGGAAAAAATGGCAAAGAGGCACAGAAGGCAAACAATCCCATAAACCAAAAGCACTTGCAAACAGAGGTTTTTCACCCAAATGGAAATGAACAGAGATAAGACTGCATCACCTAGATATGCTGAGCCAAGACAATCATCTTCCAAAAAGCACTGATTTGCATATTGAGATTTGCATTTTCAGTAAGTGCACTATGTAATGCAGTTGGGTGGGAGCCAGACTACCAGTTATTAAGTTTAAAAGGATGAAAACCACTCCTGAGACTCCAAGAAGGAAAACTAACAGCTCTGTGCTTCAGACTAATTTCTGATGAGTCAAAGTAATACAATACCCAAATAGCTCCTGTCCCTATTCCCACCAATATTATTACTTGCTCTGTGTCCCTGCCTTAGGACTACAGGAATCACTGCTACCTATTGAGAGTTCTTGACTCTCGGTTTCAGATGGGAAAGGTGACAAATACCAGCTAGAATTTCCCCAAAATAATCTGATAACAAAATATCATGAGAGGATTGTGGCAGCTGACTACATTTCTGGTTTGTACTAGACTACCGCGCTATGCGCTCCTCCCCAGACAAATCACTTCCTATGTCTCACTGGTCATCAGCCAAGACAAAGCGACCACCATTACACCATGATCAACTGTGAGCACATTTCCTTCCCTCCTACTCAACCCCAAAATGGTTAAAATATCCCCCAATACTCACATAAAACAAAACCAAGGAAGGGATGGGAACAGTAAGAACGTACCTGAAAAGTTCCGAGACACAAGCATCGTCGTGAGGATTGCACCCTGTAGAGAAAGGAAAGCAGACGTAACAGACAACATCACTCACTTCAGAAAGGGGCTGGGCTGACCAGTGGAGAACGAGGTCAGTCAGGTGCCAAAGCAGAGGTATGCCAACACTATCCTGGAAAGTCCTAGAGTATCCAGGATCCCCCAAAGTGGCTGCTGGACCTGACTGCTCAGAGTCCTGCCTTTGTAAAGCAGCAGCTTGAGGGGGGGCAGGATAGCCTAGGAAATCTAAAATGGCACTAAGAGTTGTGTTTAGACACATAGCTGCTTTCCCTAACTTTTAGAGCAGCTCCCGGCATAAGCTTTGCCATAGCTACAGGCAACTGATACACTATTACTGGGAGGCAGAGTGATCAGAACTGAAAGTCACAGAATTTAGGGGCTAGTTATTCTATTTCAACTCTCTTGCAGGAATTAGGAAGGGTGATTATGTATCAGAAGAGACATGGGAAACTTACAGTTTCAGAGAAAGAAACAACCCACCTCCTCAATACATTTCTTTAGTACCCCGTACTACCACATAAATGACTTCACCAATGTTAGTGAGCTAATCCTTTAAAAAAATATATATACTTTGTTGCTAGGAAGGCATTAACCTCAAATTCAGAGGATTAAAACCAATCTTAAGGCAAGCTAACATATACTTACCTTTAGCTTCCTTCTAGCATTGAACTTTCTCAAGCATTCCACAGTCTCCTGCCTGTGCATCATCGAAGCGACAGTGGATCGTTGCTGAAAAATTAGAACAGCATAAGATCAAGAACATACCCTAACCAAATCAGCCAAGGGTGTTGTCTCCGCTTGCACACAACCACGACATGCAAGCTGACATTGCCAAGCTGCTCACTACTGCATGGCTCCAAAACACTGCAACTGGCTCGTAACTTCAGACCTTTCCAACACAGCAAGACACGTTAAGTCAAGATTGGCTATTACAGGACTGTGTCCAAGAAGCTCTAGGACTGAGGTACAGGTGAGAACCAATGAATGCTCCCTGCCTTTCATGCACACAAATGGATCAAGACAGTAAGAAGACACAGTCAAATGAGCAAGCACACCCATGGGGAACTGAGTTAGAGGCACTACAGAAAAGATCTGGGTCGCTCTACTTACAGCTCTAAGTGAAAGTTCCAAGCAGTTAGTGAATACTAGTAAGCGGTAGCATTCCTGAACATGGCAACTCCCTGATGTAAGTTCTTGACTAGCAGAGGCTTTGGCATCTTTGCATCAGTTTTACAGAAATAGATTTTCAGTGTGTAAGAGGAAAGCTCACATAGCTCTATTGTACCTATGCAAGAACCTGAGTATAACCCTCTAGCCAGCGATGCACACCTGTCACCCCTGGTAGACTGGGATCCCATCAGCTGTAAAAAGAGAACTTCCCAGAAGTGTTGCCAGTCATCGAGAGCACATGAGGAAATCAGAGACTGAGGTTGCCAGGCATTTAGAGCACATGAGGAAACCAGAGACTAATGCCAAAGTAGCTGTTGCTCCTGCACAGACCCACAAGCCTCAATTCCCTTTACAAGGACAGTGGGTGATGACTAACTTGGCAGATCAGTATCTACAAACCCTCCATTACCTTTCTCCTGCTTGGAAAAAATTCTGCAATACCCAAAAGAACTGTAAACCATGCTCATATTCAGCTAGTTTCAGGGGAAGTCTCTGCTTTGATCCTGTCAGTAAAGCTAGTCATCTGCTGCAGCACACACAGCAGTGTGGAGGGAGAATGTAGCTAAACCGTCGTCTTTAACAACTTGACAGTCACTGTTCATTCAGCCTCCTTAAGGGTGACAGTGATGCCCAGTTGTTCAGCCTGCACTTCAGAGAGTCAGGGCATGTACCTCAGAAGTTCAGTGATGCTAAGAAACTCAGTGTCTCAGATAAACCATTAAAATTTCCCCCCACATGTACTTCAGAGGAGCAATACATCTCCAGAAAGAAAACCTATGTTGCACACACAGAGGCTGGAGAGCAAATGGAAGCAACAGACTGAACAGGAGGCAGTTTGGGTGAGAGGCTGAAATGGCTGTGAAGTGCAATTGAACTCCCCATACTCAGGGAAGGAAAGCCTTTCTTGAACTGTTCTATCTTGTGCAGCCACAGGGAGCCAGCTATCGTAATACGTACAGCCTTGGTTACAGACACTGGGACAGAAGTTAAATATACAGCAACTGCTATTGATTAAAAGCACGCAGTTTTTTAAAAAAAAATGAGATGCAGAGCCTCAGCTAGTGTGAAGTTTTGACTTCCATGGAACTTGGATCACTTCACAGACACTACACTCCTGTTAGACAGATGTTCACGTAAGTAAGTTTAAATGGCTAATTTGTTGTTCTGTCGTGGAAGGAAAAAAACCACCACCGTTTCTCAAGTAAATATGACTGAAGGAACACACTAGACACATCCTAGAAAGCAGAAGTATGCTATGGTATTACAGGAACATCTGGTTAGACTTAGGTGGAAGTATTTCATCCTAAAGAGATAAGTGCACCACTGCTGCCCTCCCCTACACCCACTCCCAGATGCATTCTGGGATTTGCTTGCCAGCTTTGCAAAAGATCAAAAACACTCATGTGTGGGGTCTGGCAAAGCAGAAACTACACACACAGAACAGCAGAAGATTTTTTTACTGATTTCAGGTTTACAGCCAGTTAAGCTGCAGCAGAACAGAAATGTTCCAACACTGCAAAGATGCAATGCAATAAACTGAAGCAGAGATGAAGAACAAGATAATCCTAAAATATTTTGTCTAACGCCAAACTCCATCTAACATTTGAGGATGACATCGACTGCAAGAGGAGATGTGGGCCAAGCCAGAAACTGTGGACGTTCACAAAACTCCTAAAAGTATATGGGATTTTTTTTCCTACCGTGGCAGTAAAAACACCACAGCATAACAAAATTGGTATGTTGAAGGTCAGCCTCCAAAAAAAAAAAAATTAAGTATTTTGGGCTCCTCTGCAGCTAACTCTTCTTGACATTTCAGCTCAGGGTAAGCCACAAATCAGTCTGTAATAGAGGAAAACACTTACGCAGACCCATGGATGTTTGAGAGCCTGGTCAGCTGTGATGCGCTTTGCTGGGTTTATTGTCAGCATCTGGTTGATCAAATTCTTTGCTTCGGGAGTCACAGTGTCCCACTCAGGTGATGGGAACTGAAAGAGCAAGAAGGAACAGATGATGAACTGAAAACATCCTCTACCAGCAGAAAAGACTCCCTCCTACACAACTGAATTCCAGCTTTTGTCTTTTCGATTCCAGGGCTAACATATTTGCATAAACCATCAATTTTTGTGAAAATCCACGCTGAATGAAAATCCTACAGAATTCAGCAAATGAATGGTACCAGACAGCAGGACACAGCTGTACCGTTCACCAGACACAGGCAGGAAGATTAACAGCCTTTTAGGAATCACTCAGACCTTTGAATTTCTTTCACACCCGACACTCAAAAAAGTAAACTCACCTAGCTTTTTAACTGACTTCTGACACGAAACACACAAGCACTATCTCTTTTATCCCACCTTGCTCTTTCTCCAGCATGCTAAAAAGCTATAACAGCATATGCAAAATCACAAACACTTCACTACAGCAAAACCTCGTGAAAGCCAAAACCGCTAACAGAGAACACCCCATCAGGTATACTTTCCCCACCATAACGCACAACATCCTGGAACAACACCAGTCACTTAGGTGCAGCAACCCACCAGCAAGTAGTTCACAAGCATCGACCATACCAGAAACCATTACTTGGGGAGCAAGAGAGATGTAACAGTGGATGGGAATACAGAAGCATGGAAACAAAGAAAAAAATCTCAGGTATTTCATCCATGAGAGGTAACAGCTCTCTCCCATAATTCCAGTAACGAGAGATGAGATTTTTACACCGCCCTCCAGATGCCTGCATGGTACAGATGACAGCATGCTGAGATTAAATGCAGTACGTCTCACTCCTATGAATCTACTGTACAAATAGAGGTGAACACGAGAACACAAAGATAAATGTGCTGTGGGTACAGAAGTCCCCTGTCATTAAGCAGGGGAAAGATTGAGCTATCCTGAGAACATTTCCTTACAGCACTAAAACATTCAGAAAAATTTTATCCCATGTCTTTTCTCACGTATTTTGTGCTTTGCTCAGCTGGGTCATAAAAATACACCCACCACATTTGATTTGCATATAATTGTATTCCTACATTCTCAGGCATCAGCAAGGCATTATACAATTTGTTCTGCAAACATTGCAAGACACTACTCAAAAATTACGACACTTTGCTTTCAGCCAGGATGCTTTTGCCCCACCCAAACTCTCAAGTATTCACGGCAATGCCTTGCAAAACCTCTACCCAACAGTGCAAAGTCCAATTTACAGTTGCCACTTCCCCTATGGTCACGAGGTTACAACAGATAGGTCCAGTCCATCTCGGTGCTGGGGTAAGGACATCAGGGACAGGTACACTGGTAGAACTTGAGCTGGTTTCTACCAGGCAAAACAGGGGAGGGATCTACTGAAACTTGTTCATTAGAGGTAAGAATTCAAACCCAGCAGGTAGATAGGAGCCATCAGGCACTTCATTCCTCATGACTTGTAGGAAGAGTTAGACATTTAACCCCTGAAGTGCTTTAAAAATCCCAGTTGATATAATTAGTGCAAAACCACTTCAACTGAGAGCAAGCAACATAGAAACAAGAGGGGCAGGAAGGCAAGAGGAGAACACAAGTCCATTTAAGGCTATCAAGTAGAAAGACATCACTTCTCTTGCACTCAGGAAGCCACTGAGCCAGGACATGGGGTTAGGCAGACATTTGTTCTCACCAAGTACAGCCGTTCTCATGGTCTCAGGCACAGACGGTTAGAGGTAACTGGGGTCCAGCAGAACCCTCACTTTATTTTCTTTTTAAATACTAATCATAACACAGCCTACAAAATGAACTCCCCAACCTCCTCTTGATATTGCTGCCCACAGGCTTTGAGCTAGGATTTCCAGGAGTTCCTTCTTCCCTCCTGAGCCTCTCCTTGCACAGAAGAATTTGTCAAGCACTCAAGCTGTGGCATCCAAACCATTTTACACCACCTTTGCTCCCCAGTACTAATGTCCTTGCTATTCCTCTCCTTCAGGCACCTTTTTACATCTCAGTTTTGCCATGCTCTGAGAACTGTTAATGAACTGCTTGGCTTTCTACCAGAGCCTCTAACCCACCACACTGAACCCCACCACAAAGCCACCCCTTCAAATGCCCCCACCATTCAGTCTTATCACTGGGCTCCAAGCTTTCTACAGCTGGAAGAAATTCCGCTACGGCACTGAGGAAACCAGAGGCCAGAATTTAAGCTATTTTTCTACAGTATACTTCCCCATACTTTTAATTAGGCCTTGATAAAGACAAGCTCCTTCATTCTACCTTCCCTCTGTTCCCCTGAAAGAGTTAGCATTGGCTACATCTTCAGCCATCTTCAGCACTCTGTGGTAAACGCACCAGAAAATACCATTTCCCACCATCTGCGTTTCTAACTCTGCATTTCACTAGTGACCAGCAACATCTTGGTGCCCACTGCGATGCTTTCCACATATCCTTTCAGTAGACCCAAACAGGACTGTATCCCAGGCAGTGAAGACAACGAGGTGTATGAACATGCCAAACATCACTTTGCACAGTAGCTTGGGGCCTGCTGCTGCACACCAAGTAAGATAGTGCCATGTTTTGGATGGCTTCTACACCCATGCAGGTACTCAGCAAGAAAGTGCCCTTACGTCATAGGCTCCGGCTTTGATCTGCTGATAGAGTTTGTGCTGATCTTCATCCCAAAAGGGAGGGTACCCCACTAGTAATATGTACAGAATCACTCCTGGGAGGGAGAGACACAGATACACTATGGTTAGGCTAATACGCCAATTATTCCTTCAGCCCCTCTTCCTTCCCTCTTGACAGTCCCCAAGGCAACGATTGCTCTCTATCTTCATTTGGCCTTCTGAGTTAGAAAAAGACAGTACAAATCTATTCTCTGCTGGACCTCACCCTGGTACTTCGTGTTCAGCTCTTAACGCCAGCTGCCAGGAGCTAGAACAAGGTGCATGATGTCCTTCTACCCTCCTCTGGCTAACACAGCTGGTGAGCCACAGTGCCCAGCTGCCCTCAGAATAAACTGAAGCCACATCCCCTGGGGTTGCTGGGCAGCAAGGGACTAGGTCTTTAGATGCTTACGGTGCATGGTCTTGGGACAAAACGCCACTGACAAAGCTAACACTCCAGGCCTGCAGAGAACCATTTAGTCCACGTCAGGCAACACTGATACCACATACCTCTCAGCTTACTGGTCCCAGATACATTTACGCTTCGTTTTTTCCTTTTTAAAAAGCAAATGTCTCCAGTATTTCATCTTCTACATAGTTAGTGTAATAGTTATCTAAACAACTGACCCTGCAAAGCATAGACAGGTCCTATCTCTCGAGTCTCAAACATCTGATAGATGGCCTGAGGAAAGGACTAGGAGCCAGAATCAAATGAGTTCAGGCTCCAATATTAACTCCATCTACACAAGGCGCTTATCCCTCAAATATGCTTTCATCTCTCCACCCAATAAGAAGAAACACTGCACACCCTCCCAGCAATAGGTTATAGAGAATTGCTCTTCTACGTGAAACGGTGTTGTTTAAGTGTAAAACATATAGACAGAATCTTACCACATGCCCATATATCCACTGGTTTTCCATAAGGATCTTTTCTTAAGACTTCAGGGGAGAGGTAGCCCGGAGTGCCAGCAAACCCTGCCAGGAAATGGACGACATGAAGTTCTTAGAGTACTCAAGCAGAAGAGATCTTGCTGTATCACAAAATACATTAGTGGTAACCAATGAATTCCAAAACCCGTTTCCCACCCTTCATATCATATTTGACAGAGCTACCTCCTGGCAAATCAACAGAAAGAAGAAAAAAAACCCCAACACAATTTGATGGGATCGAGTGTCCATATATTGCAGAAAAAACAGAAAAGAAGGGACTGTGTCAACCAGCTGGGCACAAACACATACGCCAGGCCTTATATCATCGTTACATATAATGGCTTGCAGTTTGAAAACACAAGACACAGATGGGACACATCCGGTTGCCAAATGATGGGGGCAGACCAGGAGAAGCAGCCATCTCTCCAGAACCTCCACAGCACTGCCGAGTCTCAGGGCTGGTATTTAGCCTGAGAAGGTCTCATTTCTAATTATATTTTAGCTAAACAAAGATAAGGCCAGATCTAAATGTGCCTGAGGAAGCCCAGGTCAAATGCATTTCTGTAAAATGACCAAACAAAATTCCAGATGTCTACACTCCTGAGCAGTAAGAAAGTTCCAATTAGGGTCTAAAATTAGCAGCTGCATTCATCTCTGATGCTAGCATCTACTGTAAAACAAGAAGAAAAAGAGAGAAATACGCAGCCATTTTTCCCATCTTTAACATATTCTTTCCTCTATCACACCTAGGCTCGTGCCCAAGGGCCCAGATGCTTGGAAAGGAAGCAGCAATGCCAGGTATACACAAGCATGCTGGAAAAGCTGAGAGGAAGTACTCAGGAACGGTGCAACTCAACCAGCCACTAAGAAAAGGGGGGAGCAAAAGCAGGAAAGGTCGAACACTTACCAAACCAGGCCTGCTGCTCTCCCTGGACTTCTATAGCCAGTCCGAAGTCAGCCAGTTTGACAGCAGCACCCTTACATTTACTTGCCAGTAGTAAATTCTCAGGCTGGGGAGAAGAAACAAAAAAGGGGGTAAGAACAAAAGACCGACATCCTCGTTAAAGCCTCCTACCTCACTATTCACAACATTAAATTGAACCTGCTGACTGTATTTAGCAGGCATGTACTAAAGCTGTGCAGGTGAAGGCAGAGCAACAGCAACAAATGGCCTTGACCTGAAGTGGCAGAAAATCCTCCAGTCTAACACAAACCCGCTGTGGGAGCCAGAGCCTCTCCCAGCCCAGCCCATACATTACATGCTGACACCAGAGGGCACTGGCACTACAGTTCCTGCAGCACAACCCAAAATCTGTTTCTGTCATCCCCGAAGAGAGTAATTGGGCGGGGAGGGAAGGGGGGGCAGAAAAGATGCAGTAGATAAAATCTGCAGTGATGCTTCTCCCCATGAACATTACACAGTCCCCAAGGCACTGGAAAAGTAAATATGATGTTAATAAGGGCTGCCAAATACTGCACCGTAATAGGGGAAGGCATCCTCTGGATAGGCAGTAGCTTTCATCCCTTACAGAAAAAGCCTCAGCCACAAATTGGCGTAAGCAGCACAGCAGTAAGTATTCATGTAAGCTGTTTTTTCATGCTACATATTTACAGCAGTGTCAAATACACTGTCTTGCTACTGCTGCTGTCACCTATATGACATACAGCCATGTCACTTCCCTCATGTGCCAGGAAAGAGAGACAGACTTTTGCTCCTTGCATTTCTGCCTCACGTGAATCTCAGTTGAATCACAATTCTGTTGTGTTTCAGAAGACTTCAGCAGAAGGCTTAACTCCAAAAACCGTACTGAGAGTCAGCAGGTTCCTTTGAAGCATCAGAGCAGCTAGTTTTGCGGGACCCTTTGAAACCCCAAAGCCTTTAAGGCAGTGACTCTTACAGCTCTGCAGGAAACTCAACGTTTAGCCAGGCAGGGTAGATGGGATTTTTCATCCTACCCCCTCCTGATCATTTGTGCAATTCATATCAACTTGAGTTTTTAACTGAGCAAGATGGAAGCCTGGAAATCCAGAAACAGGAGTTTGTATCAGTTTTACCTATCTGGTAAAGGTCTTCTTTGCAACTTGCTCACCAGTTTCATCCCACTGTCACTCTCCTGCCTTAAAAAACTTGACATGTGCCTAGCTTCTGCTTTGAACTAAGTGAGAACAGCCTTGCCATAACTACCATGGAAGAATGGGGAACTGGGTCTCAATACATTTGGATGCCACCAGCTTTTCCACTGCAAAGTGGAAAGGACTGTGTTCAGATTGTGATTGCAAATTCACCAGTGTAAGCAGGTCTCTAAAGCAGAAGACCAACGAAGTCTTCTGAAAATCCCTCCCAACTTCAGATCACACCTGGGCTTGGCCTGACAAAGAAACAACAAAATTTAGGCTGGGCTTGTGCTAGCTAAGCATCATTTGCTTCTAAAATATAGCTACAAACACCTTAAGGCTAATGGTGCTTATCCATGTGCATGTTTGCCAACATATGGGTTGTCTCAGGTTTCACATACTTCTTGGTAAGGATGTGAATACATTCCCTAATTTCTTATGGTCCCTATGGGCAGCTCAACATTTGAAGTTCTTTAAGAGCATGTCAGCCAAAATACAGGCTTATGACAGGAAGGTGCAAAAGGCAAAACTTCACTTCAAGCAAGCTCCGCAGTTATTACCCACTGACCCAGAAGGCCAAGCTTTTGGCAAGGAGCTAAATATTAAATAAAGAGCATGGGATCTTTTACTGCTAAAAGGAATGGCTACTCCTCAGGCCTGGATAGTTTCAGTGAATCAGAGCAAGCAACACGTTAACTACAGTGGGGAGTGTCTAGCAGTTGATAAGTTCTAAACAAGTTCACAACTTTCACACAAACACAACTTGGGAAACAAAACATTATATTTGAACACAGGACGCGAAGGAAAACTTAAACCATCCTGTACTGGAAAACACTACCAATTTTCACAGATGCCCTAATTTTGGGCAGTAGTGCTTCTTGGAAGCTACTTTCTCAAGAGCAGGTGTCATCTCTGATATAGAGCAGCCATTCCTCAGTAGTTCACTTGCACCTTTCCACAGTGCTCTGCCTCAGCAGACCAAAAGTTTTGCATGGGAGTTTGCCAGAAACACTAAGGGTTAACAGCCGGCGACCAGATGAAACACCAGTGGATCACTGCCACCAAGCTCACAACATGTTTTTAGTTCATGCTCTGCAAAATATTTTTATACTTTCCCCTTCATGCATTGTATAACAAACCAGAACCAACACTTGTAGCAGGTGTCATCCTGCATTAATTTAGCTGGACCACTGGTGGCCATCACTATTCCCACTTTAGACAGAGAGGGCTGCAGGGCAGGCAGACCTTCCCACACAAACCTCTTCATTCTGGAGCCTGCCCAGCTCCCAGTACAGCTGGCACTCCGTGGGAAGAGAGTTTAAGTAACTACACTGCGGGGACTCTGGGTCTATAAATGTGGCAAATGGTTGATTCACCCAGTGTTTTACTGGCCAGCAGTTTTGGTTTGAGATTAAAACCGCTTCTACTGATGAGAGAATAAAGAAATGACAGAAAAATTCTTGTTGAGCATCTCTGCCCTAGCCCAATGGCATGTGTTTGGCAACAGTGCAGAATAAAAATACACATGCTCTGTACAGACAAACTCATCCTGGCAGATTGAACAGAGATTGCCCCAGGTCTCTAGTGATCTCTTCAATGGCAGACTAAAAAGTGTCCTTCATTATAATGAATCCTACCAAAGTTTCTCTGAAAGCCTGCTGCCCTCCAAGGTTCGTAACTACTCCATCCTGGAGCTGCCTCAGAGAGGCTGAGAGCTGGTAAGGTTCATGAAGACTGAAAATGTCCTCAGGATTTCAGCACACCCTCTGGAAAAAACTCTGAAGGAGAGAATTTGTGCTTCAGGAATACCTGAGCTCAGCTCAAGTAAAAAAACCCTGCCAGCTGGCAACACAACATTCCTGTCTTGCTTCTTACAATGATCCCCTGGCTGCTCTCCCCAGCCTCTGTGGCATGAAGAAAATATTACCTTCAAGTCCCTGTGCACGATATCATGCTGGTGAATGTGATTCACACTCTCCAGTATCTGATGAATACAGTGGCTGCAAGACAAAGGGAGAGACACACAGCGTTATGCACACACACACAAACTTGGCATCTCATCCCAGAATTATTTTCCTAACTTTTATATTTGTACCAAGGAGAGTTCAAGACCCCAGGCTGAATCCCTTCATCATGCACACTGGATGTCACAGCTCAGTACTGTCACAGCTGGGCACCCCCACTCTCCTCAGCAACAGGATGCTAAACATCTTATCTATAGCAGGACCACAAAGCCTCTCTCCTACCTCCCATCATCTCCTTCCTTCCCTCCCCACCACACTAATCATCTCACTTGTTCCTGGAGCCAGGAGTGCCCACCCCACACAGGAGAACCAAGGCACCCGAGTATCTGCGGACAGCAGGCGAGATTGGGCAAGCAAGACCCAATCGCCCCAGGAAACATTCAGCTGGGCTAGTCCCGAGCAAAGAATAAACTTTTAGAGAGCAGCAGCCTCCCCGGCAAATTCAGGATGACGCCGCCTGGGTGCCTGCCAGTTTGCAAAGCTTTCAGAGCAGCATCTCAAGCACTTTACATACACAATGTGCACACACACCCGCTTGCTGGGTGCCTTTTAAGTACAGATCCCACTTAAGGGGTTAGTGATCTGAAAAGCAGACTCATTCCACGTTAAGTGCAGTGTGCTGCACTCCCCCAGCTCACAGAAAACTGTGTCTCTGCCGCCCGCGCTGCTGTAGCCATAGGGGCAAAAGCAAGATGTTATTTACACCTGTTGCATAAGGACAGCGCAACACATGGACAGGTGAGATTTCTGGTTGGAAACATCTCTTCTGCCAAATGTTTACTCAGCTCCCAAGGGTGAATGTGGAACAGAGTAGGCAACTTTGGCTGGGCAGTAAGCACCCAGATGCGGACAACTGAGATGGGTCTGTGCCCCCACTGCAGGATCAGTCAGTCCCCTCAACGACTTCTACAAATTGCAGGCGAACAAATTTGAAATGAGTGAAGTATTTGAAGGAAGGGAAGTTGGCTACTGAAAAGATGGGAAGAGGGTGAGGAAAGGAAGAGGAGAGGAGGTAAACAATGTGTATCTGTTACCCCCACCCCTCTGGAGCTGGCAGCACAATCCTCAGGGTCGGAGTCCATGAATATCTCCCCGCTCCCAAAACAAAAATGTATAATTAGAACAGAGCTGAGCCTGAGCGAGAGAGATTTTCTGGCCAAAAATGGCAAAAGTGTGAGGTGTCCCAGGCGAGCCAAGCACGGCGGATTGGCACGGACCTCGCTCCCTTGCTCTCCCAGCCTGCTCTGGAATTCAGCTCGGCATGGGGAGAGAAGGGGAGGAGTCTCACTCTGTCATCTTGTGGGCAATATGAGGCCTGGCCGCCTGACAGTCAGAGGGCTGAGCACCCTGAGGAAGGCTCACAGACCAACAGACTGTTCTCCTTTTCCCCTAACCCTGCCATAATTTTCCTGAGCAGTGTTGGTCACTGCCAGCTCTTGACCATTTCGGGGAACAGGCACTGGCAAGATGGACAGGGGGAAGGATGATGACTGATAACCAAAAAACTTCCCAACTTCAAGGCAGAATAACTTGAATGACTGTATCTGTCCAACACGTTGTGTCTACAATATCTGAACACCCCACTGAAAACATCTACAGGGCTCTCAGACCTCTCTGCCAGGAGCTTTATCAGAAATGATGAGCCCACTGGCCTTCCCCATCAGCCGACAGCTCACAGCAGAGTGTGCAGTGCCTCACCTGAAAGCATCGTGTGATGCCCAGAAGACAGGCTGTAAGCATACCACAGGGAAAGCAAATAAGCACGCGCTGACCCTACAACAGTACCTAAACGAACGCACAAAGTCATACTCTTCCCTACCTGGCACTCTGTATGATCCTCCTCACAGTACTGCCTACCAAGTTCACCCTCCAGCAGCACCCACTACTCCCTTCTTACCCCCCTCCTCTCACAGCTCTTTAATTCCTGCTCCAGCAAGGGTTAGGGTGAGGCAAGAATACAGGTGCAGAATAAGCAGGGGTCAAATTGCCACCATGGGGCCACTCCCAGGTTCTGCTAAAGCAGAACAGGAGCTGCCTAATCCCGGCTTTGATTCCAAACACTGCATGTCCAGCAGACAGACAGGTCAGCTACTGCTGCACAAAACACTCACCCTGCATAAACCGCAAAGGGACAAGCAGAGGGCATTTCAGGAAGCTCACACACGGGAGAGAGAAGATACACTCAGAAAAAGAAGGGCATAACTCTAAATCTTGTTAATACTAAAACGTAAAGATTCTTCTCACATATCATGCCTTTTCTCACTGCACCAACCAGCTCACAGGGAGAGAGGGCTTCCACAGAAACACAGCCTTCAAAGCCCCCTCTCCCTGCTGCCCCCTAACCCTAGACATAGGCAAAGTGAACGCGTCTGCCCACCAGCAATGGCACGGCACCGGAACCCCTACCAGGAGAAGGCAGAGGCCAAGCACGCAGTGCTCACGCGGCCACAGGACAGCTCTCCCCTACGTTTGCTCAGGAAGGACGCCCTGTCACCCACCAGAGAGGTCAGGCAAACGAAGCCGCTAGCAACGGGTCTCCCAGCAAAGAGCACACAGAGAGCAGCATCTGCAAGCGGCAAGGGCTCGGGCTGCGGTGAGTCAGGCTGACCGGTGACAATCGTTTATGCTAATAGCAGAAAGAGGAATTGTTTTTTCCAGACGGGGAGCAAGAGCGTCAGAACAAAGCCGTGCACAGAGCAACAGTTAGGGAACTCATTCCACTTGCCAACACACGTGACACATACACAGAAGGATCTGGAAACAGTCTTACCTGGCATCTGCTTCACTGTAGTATTCTCTGGCAACAATATCCTCAAAGAGCTCCCCACCCGTAACCCTGGAGTGCAAAAGAACAAGGCAGGTTACAGAGTCCATGTAAGTCTAGCTCAAGGCTGCACAGGACCTATGTGGCCACCCATGTGGGCCCTTTCCCACAGCCTGTGTGGCACTTGCAGAGCTCCAGAGCTCCTCCACCACCTTGCGGCACAGGGAGCCAGGGCAGAGCTCCTCCACCATGGCACCAGCACTGGTACATCCATGTGACCAACCCCTTGGACTGCCATTTCACCAGCAGTGTCCAGGACACTGTGACACACTGGCCATGAGTTGCCCATGCCAGTCTACTGAGCTTAGCAGATGCTAAGTCTGGGCAGAACCTCCCTCCCCTGACCACCTCCAGGCTGCCTCAGAGTCAAAAAAGTCAAATAGCTTCCCTATACAGGACAGTTGTTCTTTGCTATCCCATGTTTACACCTGCTCCCAGAAGCCTTCCTGGTCCATTCCTTACCACACAGTTAATGTATTTTGGTCAAATTTTGCCATCCAGAGGGACCTGGACA